AGTCTTAGTTTAAAGTAACCAATAAAAAAGCTTACAGAAATAAATTAAACAATGAAGTTTTCTTTTTTTAATTAAACATAATTTTAGTTATCTAATTTTGATACATCCTTTTATATACACATAATTAATAAATTATAATAATTGCTACATTAAATTATTACTATTTAACTGCTGTATTATTATATTAAAAAACAAAAAGTTGGTCGAAAAATAATATTCTCTGTTGCTTTTTATTAAAATTAATTTTTTCAAAAATAGTTTTACCTAGTCACGTGAGAGCGTTTGAGAAATTTTTTATACCATACGACATTAGTAGTATTGAATGTTAGATCATTAAATTTTTTGCATTTTGTAGTGCGTCTGTTTTCATTTTGTTAAAAAAAAGTGTAACATACTTATAACCTTTACATAATAGACTTATTACTGTCATTTTTATTTTACATTTTATTTTTTGTCCAAACCAATGATAGTTAAATCATATGGAAGTTTTAATAACGTTTTGTAAAAAGATGAAGAGCTTCGTTCAAAATTATTTTCCTTTTTAATATGAAATTTAGTGTAAGAAGGATGCGAATAATAGAGTATAAAAAATCGTTTTTCATAAATAAAAAAACGCGCCGCTTTTTGGCACTCAAATTTCAAATGGCGCTTGAGATGTTGCAAGCGCACGTATTTCTGTCCGTATACGTATACGACAGTATAGGGCGACAAGCGGTGGAGTAGGAGGGAAAAAAGAATGAAAGGAAGAGAGAGAGAGAGAGAGAGAGAGAGAAGCTGCTGGCGCTCTGTCGCTATTATACTTATTATTATTATACGTGGGTATCGCGTGTATGTATATACATGTGCACAATATATTGTATGGTATTATTATATACCATTACTTGTATGGGTACTGTACTGGTTGGTACATTCGTAGGTACACAATATACTACCACTTCTTTTTATCTACACGTACATATTATACCTACATTCTCTTTTTCTCTGCTCTCGAATAAATACTTATACGTATATATACATGGATCCTTTTCCTCTCTTTTTTCTCCATACATTTCGTACATGTACATAGTGTACCTACCATATAAGTACGTGTACGTAGAAATCTTTGAAAAATCACGAGGTAGAGGGAACTGGAATGTGAAACAAAGGTTTTTTTTGCGTGGCGCACCCTGTACAAAATCCCTTGTTCTAGGGTACGATTGGATACCCAGTCATTGACATCAACTATAGGTAAAATGTGTTTTTACAAAAAATTCTCGAAAAAGTTCTTTTATTTCGAATGAAATGATTAGCAACATGTATTGGCGAAAATTTTTAAGTTGTAATTAATTCGAATCAAGTTTAAAAATTTTTCTTGCAAAGTAATTAAGGGCGTTTGAAAAAAGATTGCATTTGAAAATGTTCATGCTGTTCGAGTGGCAAATTAAAGATAAAAATACAACTGTTTACATATTTCGATCTGATGAATATTTTTAAACATAGCAAGACTAAATTTGAACTTTGTTCAAAGCCCGTTAATTTTTTATAAAAAATAAAAGAAACATTTTGTTTTTTCTAGTTTTCACTGTGACTTTTTATACCACGTGATCTTTAAACAAAAATTAAAATGTGACCTATATATTACGTCACGCAAAAACCTTTGTTTTTCTATTACCTTGATTTTGTTTAATCTCAAAATTTTTTGGAGATTCGGCCATGTAGATCCATTTACTTTTCATAACGGTTTTTTTTCGCGCGCCTCTATATACCACATTCANAGGTGAAAAAAAAAAAAAGTATCCATGACCAAGTCTGTACATAAATTAAATTCGTTCAAAAAACGCATGATACAAGCCATATATACGTATAAGTACCACGAAGAAAGTCCGTGAAGTTTCCAGTTTAGTCGCAAATCGAAGTTCAAGCTCTTTCTCCCCGATAGAAATTACATATATTATATGTAACACAACAAAGCTTTTCTTCCACGTATTAATTTCCTTGTTGGAGTAATTAGACCATCGGGTCGTCGTAGACGTGGGTCTTCTCGTGCTCTTGCAAGTGATGGCGGTGCTTGAACCTCTTGCCGCAGCGCGTGCACTGGTAGCGCGGTTGAATACCGCACTCGAATCAAATCATTTTTTTGTTAAATCAATCGTTTTAAAAATATAACCATTTGTATGTTTTGAGTATTAAAATAGGTATTAAATTTACTTCGAGTCGCAGGTGGCGCATCAAATTTCCCTTGTGCGAGTAGTGTCGTCCGCAACGTTGGCACAGAAAGACACCGCTCGAGGTTTTAACGATAGTCGTCGTTGACGCGGGATAGCAATTGACGGATGACGACGAGGAGGACGATGGCGACCATTGGATCGCTGAAAGCACAGAGGAGATATCACGGGTTAGTTTCGGAATGGCGGTGACATATGTATGATACATAACTATTATTTTTAAGGAATATTTTAATTTATTGAATTGCTTGTACTATCAATAATTATTTTAATACAAGTAAAACTTTTATGCCTCAAACAAGATAAACATTTATAAACTTGCTACTCGGCGTTTTATTTTTAATAATCATCACGTGCATTTACATAATATATGCGGGAATTTTTTTATAGTAATTATAAAGCAAATAAACACTGGGAAAAGATTCATCGTGGTAAAATTTTTCTAATGTGCACCGAGTGTTATATAATTTTTCCACATAAAACTTAGCTCATTTTTATGTTACAAAAAAATACCGTTAAGTAAAGATCTTTGGCCAATTCACGTAAAATTCAAGTGAACCTTAAATAAACGTATCCAACGAGTCATTCACATTTTTCTAAACATTATTGTATCTGTGTCCACGCGTACACAGTACTAGTTGATCCCATAAAATTGATTATCTCATTGTGTTTTCATCCAATGATCTGTTTAAAAAAGATTGCATCAAAAATTCCTTGACAAAAAAATGTTAACAATATAGATTTTTCCATTGATTCGGTAAAACTTAAGAATTTATTTTATACTGTAGAAAAATTGTTTCTGCGATGTTCGCCGTATAATAAAATATAAAACAGCGATGTTGTCATTAGTTTTTGAATAACATTTTTCTTTTTTTTTTTTTTTTTCGTCAAATTAAAAGTGTACTAACACAACAAAATGAAAAGTAATCCCTCGACTTCCGATTTAACTTTGCGACGCCTCGGCCAGTGTGTCGATGCAGTACACCTCCTCCTGCTTGTGCATCTGGCGAACGTGGTTGTAAGCCGCGTAGCGATACTTGGCCCGTTGGCCGCAATAAGGACACTGAAAGCGCGGTGATTTGCGACACGCGTACTTGATGTGCTGTTGCAAGCCACGCAGGTATGAAAAACTGCTCGGACATCTTGGACAGAGAAAACGGCACCTATCGACCATCTGCCGGCGCCCTCGGTGGCCCATTCGGGCGCGTCCCCGCTTAGGCTGGGGTTTCAACACGCTCCCACTGGCCAATATATCTTGCACCTCCACAAATTGTATTCTTGTGTCTGAAAGAGGAAAATCTACCATCAGTCGGCCGAATTTTCATGTTTCGAGGATCTACGTGCATGTACAGAAAAAAAGCGTGGTATGATTGGATTGTCATCATTAGTATTATTATGATCGTTGTGTATAATAATTTTAGAGAATAAAAATAAATTTATTTTCAATTATTTATTTCTATTCGACTGCGACAATTTTTTTATTTTTCATTTCATTTTAATCAATCCTTTTCACGGCGATTTCTTTTTTGCAAGCTCGTAACCTTTTTTGAGCTTGCAATTCAGAGTATGAGCTTTTAAATGATCCGTACGTTTGAATCGATGCGGGCAAAACTGGCACTTCAGACTCGCTACTTTTTGGCACTCGTATTTTTTATGTCGAATTAATGTCGTGTAGTGCTTGTATGATCTGTAACATATATTTAAAAAGTCAAATAGGATAGAAAAATATATGTGAAAAAACGAAAGACAGAGATAAAAAAAACCGTACAAATATTTTGTTAGTGATGGAAATACCTGTAACAGACGTTGCAGACGTGGCTGTAGCGATTCGGGAACCAAAGAGGATACGGCTGTTGCGACGGCCCCGGCAAAGCTAAAGGATCGTCTACGTAGATTTGATCGTAGTAGATGACTGCAACATAAGGTTTTTCATTTTTGATGTAATTGATGAAAGTTTTTTCACAAGAAAGACAATATTCATATTATTATTAATTTACAAAATTAACTATGGATCTTACAAATAGTTAGATGTAGAGTGAAGCATTGTGTACGATAATAGTAAAAAATTAAAAAGTACGGACTTTTTAAAAAACAACAGTCTTTCGAAATGTTGAATTTTCCATTTATTTATGCATGTCTGTACAATATTTACGTATATTAACAATTTTAATATTAAATTATAGAATATTTAACTAAACTGTAATTTTTTAAAACAAACTTCATAACGTTATTCACAAACGTATGGAGAATACATTAAGTTTCTTATCAGATAAAAATTGACTTACCCCTTATCATGAAAAAACTTTGGTAAAGATGAAAAAAATTATTTTATCGGTAACAAAAAAACGACACTAGACTTAATCAATTTTTTTTTGTTTACAGTTCCAATCGAGTCTCAACATCGTTATCCAGAAGCTCATAAAACGTTATTGGCTTATTTTTATGAATCCTCGTGATGTGATCCTTCATATCGCTTTTGTGCTTTGAACGCCTCGAACAGTACGAGCAACGAAATTTCGGTATCACTTGGCATTCGTAGTCCAAATGACGTTTTAGAGTGTAAAAATGAACGTAGGTCTTGCCGCACTTGAAACAAGTATTAGGTCCCCCACCTCCTGCTCCTCCGCCTCGTTCATAAATATTCTTCCAGTAATCTAAAAGAAATAGATACAAAATTTTTTAAAATAGCACAAACATGTTTAAAAATACAACAAAAATTGAGGCTCAAGTACGCAGCATGTGTTTTTAAATGCGATGTTAGTGGCGCACAAACAATTATTAAGTTAAAACAGTTATAAAACTGAAATTAGAATTCATGAGTAACTGCAAGCATGTTAAAAAAGGGATAGCATAATTTTGAAACAATATAATTCTCATGTTTACAAACGTTTTATTATTTTATAATGTTTTCTATCGTACGTTCACATTCCTTAATAACTTTTTCATTTTTCCATATCAACTTTGTTTTTGGTGTTTGAAATACAGTCTGTTACGCAAAACTTACTTATTAAACTTATAACTAATGATACATAACTATTATTTTTAAGGAATATTTTAATTTATTGAATTGCTTGTACTATCAATAATTATTTTAATACAAGTAAAACTTTTATGCCTCAAACAAGATAAACATTTATAAACTTGCTACTCGGCGTTTTATTTTTAATAATCATCACGTGCATTTACATAATATATGCGGGAATTTTTTTATAGT